ATCCCGGGACTCCAGGATCATGACCTGAGCCGAAGGCAGTCGCTTAACCAACTGAGCCACCCAGGCGCCCCCACAGTTCCATTTTCAGAAATTGAGCTGTCATTCCCTACAGCTCACCAATCGCTTTACATATGGGCAAAATAAGATGTCCCTTTACTTGCCAGACCAGCATCAGTGGTTTCTAAAGGATGCAGTGTAGTGTACTAGGAGCAAATCTGCATTGTGTAATATACAGTTAATGCTACCTCACTGCACATGCGATTTTTAGTCAATAAAATAACGAGCATGGAATTTTTTAAACGAATATAATAACATCTATATGGAAAAAATCTATTCATGTCATGATCAGGGTATTTGGCTTAATAAATATATTCTTTGAAACACTTTCCACGTTAATAGAGATTGGAGGGGAGGGTAAAACAATGACAAGAAATTTTAGAGTCAGTCCATACTACAGGGACCAGGGTTTAATTGGAATCAAAATGCTAATTTAAGAAGCTGCGCTTTTCCCAACTACTACTAATAATAAGCATGGCTCACCTCCAATTTCAGCTCCACTATTCAACTGATTCAAAGGTCAAATCTTATGCAAGTCAACTTTTGAAGGTAGTTCTCATATACTGAATGTGTTTTCCTTTCTCCTTTTTTTCTTTTTCTTTCTCTCCAACCCTCCTGCTCCAACACACACACACACACACACACACACACACACACACACACTCACTACACCCTTTTTTCCCTTAATAAATTTTTTATTTTGGAATAGATTTCCAGAAAAGTTGTGAAGATAGTACAGAGAAGATGGACCCCACACCCAGCTTCCTCTGCTTTCAACATCTTACATTAATATGGTAGATTTGTCACATTTAATGAACAAATATTGATACATTATCATTAACTAATGTCCATAATTTTTTCAGATTTCCTTAGTTGTTTACCTATTGTCCTTTTTCCGTTACAAGACCCCATCCAAGACGCCACCTTACATTTAGTGATCTTGTCTCTTTAGGTTCTTCTTCGTTGTAACGTTTCTCAGACTTCTCTTATTTTTGATGACTTTAAAGGAGGAGGAGGATTTTGGAAAATGTCCCCTGATTCAAATTTGTCTGACGTTTTCTCCTGATTGGACTTGGACTATGGGTTTGAGGAAGAAGCCCGCAGAGGGAAAGTGCTGTTCTCATCACATCATGTCAAGGCTACACACTATTTACATGACTTATCACTGTTGACACTAATCCCAATCACCTGGCTGAGGTAGTGTTTGTCATGGTTCTGTTTTGTAAAGTTACTTTTTTTCCTCCTTTCCATACCGTGCTCCTTGGAAGAAAGTCACTATGCACAATCTATACTTGAGGAGTGGGGAGTTTCACACTTCTTCCTTGAGGGCAGAGTAGCCCCATAAATTATTTGGAATTCTTCCACACTGGAGATTTATCTGTTGTCCCCCATGTCTTCATTTATTAAGCATTTTTTAATACCTATACGGAGTCATGGGTATTTATATTATACTTTAAGTTACAATCTGATACTACTTTATTTTGCTGTTCAAGTTAGTCCAGCTTTGGTCATTGGGAGCGATTTCAGTGGGTTTCAATACCTCATTATTGTTGGGTTTTGGGGTTTTTTTAAGCACTTTCTGCATGACAAGATACTCTAAGCTCATCTGGTGTATTTCCTGCCCCTATCCTAGGAAAAGCCATTTTCTTTTTCTTTCTTACTTTTCTTTTTTTTTCTTTTCTTTTTTTTTTTGTGAGAGAGAAGTGGGAGGAGGGGCACAGGGAAAGGAAGAAAGAGAATCTTAAGCAGACTCCACGCCCAGCACGTAGCCTGATGCAGGGCTTGATCCCATGACGCTGAGATCATGACCTGAGCCAAAATCAAGAGTCAGACACTTAACCAACTGAGCCACCCAGGCGCCCTGAATCAGCCATTTCTTTATGGAGCACTGGTTCCTTTTACTGGAGAATGGTATCTGAGCACTAGATGACCATTACCTGTCTTATATCCCCCCATCCACTCCTCGTACCTGCTGCCACTGACCATGGAACAAATGGTAGATCTCCACATGACTGCTTGGCTTCCTAATTCAAGAGGAACTCCCAAGGTTCATGACATCACTGTCTGGCATGCTTCTTAGACCTGTTAGCTTCTTCTTCTTCTTCTTTTTTTTTTTTAAGTAGGCTCCACAACCAGTATGGAGCCAAACACAGGGCTTGAATTCATGACCCTGAGATTAAGACCTGAGCTGAGATCAAGAGTTGGCTGTTTAGCCAACTGAGTCACCCAGGTGCCCAGTAGACCTTTTACGAAGCATATTTGTAGCAGGACTCAACAAAGACCACAGTCCAGTCATGGAGGCAAAGGGAAGCCTATGAAGCTAACAGTCAGATGGCTTTGGTTTAACCAGAGAGCCCCCTGATGACAAGGGTATTTGAGATGGTCTGGTCCACTGGGGATTCCTTGGGGAAGATTGATCTTTAAAATCAGGTAACACTTTCGGGGCACCTGGGTTGCTCAGTCATTAAGCGTCTGCCTTCGGCTCAGGTCATGATCCCAGGGTCCTGGGATCGAGCCCCGCATCGGGCTCCCTGCTCGGCAGGAAGCCTGCTTCTCTCTCCCACTTACCCTGCTGTGTTCTCTCTCTGGCTGTCTCTCCCTGTCAAATAAATAAATAAAATCTTTAAAAAAAAAAATCAGGTAACACTTTCATTGGAGTATGGAAGAGACAGGTGGATATTTAGATTCCCAGCTGTTTAAACCACCACTGGTAAGTGTCTCTGTGTCAGCCAGTTGGCCATCCCTGCTGCATTATTACAGAGAGGTCCAAATGTGCCATCCAATATTTTCATCAACAGTTGAGATGGAGGTGGAGAAACATGCTTCCCAAATATCAAATTTGCACATACGGCAAAGTTGTAAGCTCCTGGGATAAAGACAGAACAAGAGACAAGATATCCCAACAGCCTGTCCTGTTGGCTGGAAAGAAGAATGTGAAATGTTACCAGGATAAAAGTGAAAGTTTTGCAATTGGATTTTTAAAATCCATTGCATCAATACAGGGTAGGAGTAATAACCTGCACCGGCTCGTGTGAAAAACATCTGCGGATTTTCGCTGTGTGTTTCCAGGGAGCCAGCAGTGGTTGCCAGGCTGCCAAAGACCCAGTGTCCGTTCAGGCTGGACTAGTGGGAATGCCATGCTCGGGTTCAGGCCAGTCACCGTCCCATGGTCCTCTGTACTGGTCAGACAGCTGTAGGAGCATTGTTGTTATTTCTGAGTATCACCTTTTAAACATTATATTGACAAACTAGTATGTGTCTAAAGGAAGACAATCAGGAGAGTGGGCAGAACCATCGCTATTCTGTGATGAAGGCTTGAAGGAATTAGAGGTGATCAGCCCAAAGAAAAGAAGCAAATGCAAATTGAGAATGGTCATCTCTAGTTGGGAGAGGGACTGTCCGAGGGAAGGAGGAGGCTGCCTGATTTGTGCAACAGGGCTCAGAACAACAGGAACAAGTTACAAAGGAGCAGACTCTGCACCCATGGAAGAAAAGATTGTCCGACAGTTAAGGACAACCAGCAGTGGGCCAGGCCTCAGGGACAGCCCGCTCCCCATGACTCCTTATGTGTGAGCAGAAGCTAATGCAAACACCAAAGATGGGCAGAAGCTGCATAGATCCAGTCATTTTATAAATCAAGCTACTTACGGAGCTGCTGTTTAAGCAGATTTGGTCATGTATAACCTAGGACCATGAAAATAATGATTTGCTTCTGTATTTTTCTCCTGTGAATTTTCTAACCTCCCCAGGTTTCAGAAAAGTTGGTCAAGGATCCAGTTGGGAGGATGCACAAAAGATCAGCCCTCTCCCCCAAAACACAGTTAAATAACTGTCATTAAATGATTAAGCTTCAACTGCAAAAAAAAAAAAAAATGTTGTTTTCTTGAGTAAAATTGGGAGAAACTCCATTGTATGTTCCATAATGGAAACATTATTTTCCAAATCAGTTGATGAATATTCGTTCAGGTCTTTGGCTGTGTCATGCATTAAATCCAATAACTGTAGAGGAAAAGAATGTGGCCCATTTCCCATGATGTGTTTTGTTTTCATTTACATCTGTGTATATTTCCCAGTTTGGGGCCACCTGTCCTTGAACAGCAGGAAGCAGGTGGTATATTCAGGGGCCCTAAGCCAAAACACATTAGCTCCTGAGCCTTGGTCTTGCCGAGGGTGTTTGCTGGCCGTGGGAATCATCCTTCCTCTGCCTTTGCACAGCTGTATGTTCTAAACCACTGGAGGGAAGACTGTTTTGTATTAAGATGCATTGTTTGTTTTAGATCATAAATCTTGTCAATTCGTCACCCGTGACTGTTCTTACAGCTTACAGGCCAGTGTCTGTGTAAATTCGGCTATGATGGGAAACACTGCAGAGGATGCAAGGAAAATTATTACGGTGATCCACTGGGGCGATGCATTCATAAGTATTGCTAATTCTAAAAACCTGAGGACCGTCCGCCAGCTCCGACCATGAGCATGCTATGAGCCAGCTGAATTTTAAATTCCTCTATTTGATAGAAAATTCACAATGTGTAATCTTAATTTTGAAAACAATATTTTTTATAGCCTTATAAAAAGATTTGTGTCAAACTTTAGGCTATATTAGATGTGTTGAAGCCTGGATTGCAATTCCTCAAAGTCTCTAAAATGGAACAAACGTCTGAGGTCATGACTTGTAGCCAGTTTTCTGCTATTTGGAAGCATGTTGACAAAAACAGCTTCTAGAAGGAGGTACAGGCTTCATAGGAAGATGGTTCATAGGAAGCCAGCAGAGGGGGTGTTTCCTCACCTTGGAGCTCATAACTGGATCTTTCAGATACTCACTGATTCATTTATTTTAAGATATTCATAGTGTGCCTACTGGGTAAACTAGGTCATGAGCAAATAAGGCAAGGCCCCTAATCTCATGGAATTCGTGGTCTAGTGCCTTTCGCCCCATGTCTTGGCACTGATTGCTGGATTTAGAGCAGCACTGTCCAACAGAACTTTCTGCAGAGATGGAAACTGTCTGATCGGCACCACTGGGATGCAGGGGTCACTGGCCTGGGAGCTGATGAGCACTTGTAATGTGGCCAGGGCAGATGAGGAAAAGAATGTATGTTCAATTCATTGAAATTTCAGTAGCCCTGGATGGTTAAGTGGCTACTTACCATGTCCATATTGGACAGCACAGATTGAGAATCTGGGTTAGTTCTAGGAGGAGGGATTTTTGAATCCCTATAGTCCACTGCCAAAAGAAGTCAATCCAAAAAAATATCAGATGTGGTGGGCTTATTATGGTCACCTCTACGTAGCCACACATGGTAACTCTTCTCCTCTCTATTCCTTTCTAAATGTGCTTTTGTGGCTAAAATAAATGGCCTTCATTTCCTTGCCCCACTCAAATCCATATCCTCAATGGTTTCCCTGGTCCCACTTAGTTTTCTAAGTGGAATTGCTACATTAAAAACCAGGGTTATCTTTTGGTAAGCTAAAAAAAAAAAAACCAGGGAGCAATTTTGGCTCCTGGAAAATCTGTCTGAGCCTCTTTCCTCTGTGCCCTTCTCATATTTCAATAATCTCATTTTCTGAAATGCTTTCCTCTTTGATAGAAAAAACTTTGCAAATGATCAACTCAGGCCACAGACCCCCTCTAACGCTCCTGGAAAAGAGCAATTAATAAGCTGGTGACTTGACATAGTGCTGCCCCTGAGGCGTTCCTGCTGAGGCCTCTGTGCCAAAGCCAGTGTGCTGGACAGATGGTATCTAGCTGAGGAGCCTAGCGTGTTAATCAGTTTTTATTTGTAATCAGCATTTTTACTCAAGCTGTAAAATGCATTTTTAAATCACTCTTTCCTTGCAGTTAGTCCAGTGACATAGGCTAATGATTCCCTGACCTTCTGGAAATTGCTGTAATTTCCATAGCTCTGTCCGTCCTCCATCCTCAGCCTTAATCAAAAACCTACTCAACTGAATTACATGTAGCATCTGTTCGTTTGTTTTTTTAACTAAGACAAAATTAATTTAATTGTCTCCCTTTTTAAAAGGACTTAATTTTTTAGAGCAGTTTTAGGTTCACAGCAAAACTGAGAGGAAAGTACAGAGATTTCCTATATATCCCCACAGCCCACACATGCGTGGCCAGCCCCATTATCCACACCTCCAAGAAAGTGGCACGTTTTTTACAACTGAGGAATCCACACTGATACACCATAACCACCAAAGTCCGCAGTTCACATTATGGTTCACTCTTGGTATTTTCCATTCTGTGGGTTTGGACAAATGTATAAGGACACGTATCCACCATGACGGTATCATACAGAATATTTTCACTGCCCTAAAAATCCTCTGTGCTCCACCTGTCCCTCTCTGGCCACCCCTCTCCCCACAGCCCGTGCCAACCACTCATCTTTTTACTGTCTCCGTAGTTTTGCCTTTTCCAGAATGTCTGGTAGTTGGAATCCTACAGTACATAGCGTTTTCAGTTTGATTTGGTTCACTAGGTGATATGCATGTAAGGTCCCTCCATGTCTTTTCATGGCTTGATAGCTCATTTCTTCTTAGCCCTGAAAAATATCCCTTGTACCACAGTTTATCTATTCACCTACTGCGGGACTTCTTGGTTGTTTCCAGGTTTGGGCAATCATAAATACAGCTAATATAAAGATCCGTTGCAGGTTTTTGCATAGAGACGTAAGTTTTCAACTCCTTTGGGTAAATATGATGGAGTGATTCCCCCCCCTTTTTTGAGGATGGACTGATTCTCCTTATATAATGGAAAACAGCATGGGTCAGCAGCCCCCAGGCTGGGTTTTGTTGAGACAGAGTGTGGTCACGAGAATTCTTAGAGGGTCGCCGGCATGCCTGAGTCACCTACGGGGGCAGTGGCCCCAGACACTAGTGTGTCGTCCGCCACTAGGTCCAGGTTACTCACTCGTATAGGCAAAGGAGCCCACACGTGAACACTCACACAGTAAAGACGACACCTAGTATTTTCCTTCTGGAAACCATGAACTGATTTGTTCGTGGAACGCAAAGAAGAGTGCTGTATGTAATGGCCATTGCCCAGGTCTCTGTAATTACACCGGTTTTTAAACGTTCACCTTAAAAACGGGCGTCGGGGAGTCTCAGGGGAGAGGAGTGGGCTTGATTCTTGAGCGAGCCAGAAGCAAAAGGCCAAGTGACTGACATTCTCGGCTCCCTCTGTCTTCCGCTTTAGCATGTGACTGCAACAGGGAAGGTGCCCAGAAGCCCCCCTGTGACCAGGACACTGGCATGTGCCGCTGCCGGGAGGGGGTGAGCGGCCCAAGATGCGATCGCTGCGCCCGGGGTCACGGCCAGGAATTCCCTGCCTGTCTGCGGTGTCACAGCTGCTTTGATCGCTGGGACCACACGGTGTCTGCCCTCTCCAAAGCCGTGCAAGGGTTAATGAAGCTGGCTGCTGACACGCAAGATAAAAGAGGGCCCGTGCTGGTCTGCAAGGCCAACTTCAAAGGCCTCAGAGAGAACATGTCTGAAATAGAAAGGATTCTGAAACATCCTGTTTTCTCATCGGGGGAATTCTTAACCGTCAAGGATTATCAGGACTCTGTTTGGTAAGATTTGTGCTCCAGCAATAGATTGCAAGTTCCTGATCTGCCTTGACTCCTGTGGAGCTTTATAAAGCAGCCTTCAATTTCAAAATGTACCTATGTGGACGTTAGGGAAATAATTTTTCAGTCAGCGTCCAGGCTGGGGATCATGACTGTCTGTCTCTTTTTTACCTACTTAGGATTACATGGGATCTTTCCAGATGCCATCGATTAGAACAAAAAGGCAATCATTAAGAGCCTGATTTTGGAAAGCCCAAACCCAGCAGAGCTGAAAGATACAAAATTAGAAAAAGGGTCGTTTATCATACAGATATATTTTTTTTCCAACCAGGCACTCAGGGAGACTTGCTAAATCTTCCCAAATTCTTCAGTTGTTTGGAAAAGCCTGTACATTAATGTGAAGTCATATAGCAAGCGTGAGAAGTTCCTCAAAATGCACTGTCATTTTTATTATATGTTATATATATTTATATAACATTCATCAAACATTTCTGGACATTATGTTGGTTGGTCTGGGCCAGGGCTCATCAGACCACAGGCAAAATCCCACACGCCACCTAGTTTTGTAAATCAGGTTTCACTGGTACAGCCCCGCCCATTTATGTACCTGTCCTCTGTGGCTGCCTTCTCGGGACAAGGGCAGAGTGGGGTAGTTGTGACAGGACTATGGCCCCCAAGGCCTGAAATATTTACTATCTGACCCTTTGCAGAAAAAGTTTGCCAACTGCTCTGGGCAAAAACCAGGATGCATGGGATACAGTTTTCCGTCCTTCTATGAGCACGTAGTCTACTGAGAAACCAAAGAGATTGTGATTATGTAGAAGAATATCCCCTGCCCCGCCCCCAGTCAAAGGTCCTGGATTAAGGAATAATTGAAGCTGTAGAGTTTTGTGTTATACAAAACACCAGTGTCAAGATAAAGCCATTCATTTTCATCAGGCAAAAGTCGCAGAGGTACATGGTAATAGCTTCAAAGTTACACAAGGAAGGAGATGGAGTCCACCGCCATAGTTCAGAGGAAGGGCCATGCCCCTACAGGGCCCAGGGGGGTCACGTGGCCAGGACAGGCTGGCGACTGAAAGCAGGCACATCCACCACCTTGTAAAGACTATTGTCCTGCAGGATTTGGGCCCTGTGTCCCCAGGTCTTCCCACTTTTCCAGAGATGTCAGGCCTCCAGATTTTTATGGAAATGTCCCCACTTTAAAATATAGCCAGCTGGGGCGCCTGGGTGGCTCAGTCGTTAAGCATCTGCCTTCAGCTCAGGTCATGATCCCAGGGTCCTGGGATCGAGCCCCGCATCGGGCTCCTAGCTCCGTGGGAAGCCTGCTTCTCCCTCTCCCACTCCCCCTGCTTGTGTTCCCTCTCTCGCTGTATCTAGTTCTGTCAAATGAATAAATAAAATCTTTAAAAATAAATAAATAAATAAATAAATAAAATAAAATATAGCCAGCTAATCCAATAATGCTCTTAAAAAGCACCGGACAGGCCAAATAAATGTGTCTGAGAATGAGCTTTGGCCCATGGACCACGGGTTTGTGGTTCTAGAATATGGCAAACAAAGTGGACCTGTCAGAAAGAAAGCAGAATGAGCCAGTCCACAGTGGGCACTCTAAACAGAGACCACAGAACCTCAGATAGAGCAGAAAGACAGCAAGAGAAGCAGTAGTCCCAGGGCCAGGCCTGAAGCGATGAGGAAAGCAGTGAGTACTGGGCCTCTTCTGCCGGAAACCATGCCTGTCCCCTCCCGGTCCACCTACTGAGCTCCTGTTCCTCCTTAGCAACCACCAAAACACCACCTCCTCTCTGACACCTTCCATGACCTCCTCAGAAAAAGACATGTCCTTCCTTCTCCATCTTCCCCCTTCCCTGTGCTAGGACCCTGTGACAGGGTCATTGCCTTACTGAGGGACCCCTGAGGACAGAGGCTACCTTCTCCAGGCTCGGTTCAGTCACATAACAAACGTTTGCTGGGTAAATTACCAATGAAAGGGGAGGCGGAGGGCAAGGAAGCCAGGATATCACGAGTACAGATTCCGTGACTGAAGTCCACTTATTGCTGTATGGCCTTAGGCAGGTTATTTAACTTCTCCAAGCACCTGTTTCTTCATCCAAAAGGGGGGTCGAGTCTCTATTTCATAGGTTTCTTGTGAGAATTACTCAGACAAGCCTCTGAGCATGGTGTCTGGTGCATTGTAGGGCTTCGAGAGTACCAATTATAATAACAGCAATTACTATCATTGTTATTATTATTATTAACCTGATGAATTATGGTCCTGACAGTTGGCGCCAGAAGGAAAAGTCTGTAGATTAGAAGGGAGAGTTAGAGTAGAAAATGCTAGGAAGCATTAGTTAATGCTTTGCATTTCTGCCAAGATAAATGAGTCCCATAGATTCATATTGTAATTTTCCTCAACCGTACTCTTCACGATTTGCACCGAATTTCCTTATCATGAAGGATATTACTAATTATTTCCTTGAACCCACTGTGGGTGCTGAACCCAGCAAATTGAAGCAGGACAGAGATAGGCATCATGGAGAAGAAGGTGAGGAGAATGAACACAGCCCAGGCCTGGGTACTCTCACCAACAAGGAAACCTCCTTGTCACTCATGGGAATGACAAGTTAAGACCCGGTATAGCAGTGGCTCTAGAAGGATCCTTGCTGCAGGCAGATTTATTCTCAGTAAAGAACTGGTTTTTGCCCTAGGCTGGGTGAGGACTTCCGTGTTAAAAGCTGAATATAGGTTGGATCTCATGGATTTAAATGAACAGTGTCTGAATGTGTGTTTTTGAAAACCCAAAGCAAAGGGAGACAGAAAGAGTCTAAATAGTTGAAATTGAAAGATTCAAAGCCTTTCTTCCACTAGACCTTGTATGCGGATTGTATTTTAAGTGAGTGCTAAAACGTTCCAGGAAGCTGAATTAACAAGAAAGAGAGGAACCATAAACAGAACTGTAAACTGTCAAACACAACATCGAGGAAGAAGGATCCATTCTAATTATGAGGGTGCCTGATCACGAGGCCAATGTTGGTGTGTTTTTTTTTCACTGATTTATCAACAGGAATACAAGCTTCGCTACATTTACTCTCTTTTCCCTCCAGGGAACAAATCATGCAGCTAAGTGTGCAACTGAAAGAAGTGCATGAGTTTCCAGATCTGAAAGAAAGGATAGGAGGAATGGGGAATGAAGCAGACCTCTTACGTGAAGATCTTCAGCGAGAAATCAATTTGCGCTTCCGCGCCCGTAATGCAAGCATCATGGGTAAGAGAGAAAATGCACTTGGATGGTCCGTTGATGGACAAAGGTTGCTGCCATCCATCGTTTATTCCATTAGCGCGGCACCCTGCGCTCGTTGCCACAGAGCCTGAGCACTTTAGGACTGAAAACACACCCATTAAGGTATTATTTGTACATGAATATTTCAACTTTTTAAGCAGTGCAGAGCTTGGGTAGCATCTGTTGAAAATAATGAATACAGCTAACTGTCTGATACTAAACAGATACTGACTGACAGCCAGGGTACTATCCTAATGCCAAAGCATGCAAGGGGTCTTGTGTAACTGGCTTTGGACCAGGACCATGATGTTCCAAAACCTTGTCCCTCCGCGGAATGATGCCCAGAAAGGTCCCCGCCTTGGCTCTCCCCTCAGAGTCAAAGAAACAAAGAGGGACACTCGGAGAAAGGACATCCGACCACTGCTGTCTAGGTTGCCACTTTAAAATGGTTCATGGCATGAAAGATTTGGACCGCCAACTCGAGCACGGGAACAGAATTCTTCCTGGGTTTACTGGGAAAGGCTCTGGGAAGTAGGTGACATTTGACTTGGACTTCACAAAATGAGGATAAAATTTGCCAGATAAATAAAGGCCAAAATCATCCCAAGCAATAGGAAGGTGTGGTTGTCTCATGCCCGACTTCTGGTTGCGTAGGGAGTAAAGATCAGGACCCTGGGCCTCTGGCTCCTAAAATACGGAGTTACCGTTGAAAGTCCTGCAACACTATCATTTGCAGTAAAATGAACTGTATTACCTTCATGATTTTGTATTTTACTAAAAATATGGAAAATATAGAGCAGTGCTGAAGAACATAGTTTCCAGAATCAAACCGCCGGCCTTGAAATCTTGTCTTGATCCCTTGCTGTCCGTGAGACCTCAGGCAAATAACTTACCTCCGGAGAGCCTTGTTTTCTCACCTGTAAAATGGGGGTGATCATGCTAACACGCACCTCGCGGTGTTTTGTGAAGATTCAGGAAGAAAACTGACAAGCGGGGCAGGCACAGAGAAAGCGCTGCACAATTGTGACCTGTTGTCATCAGCCTCCACATCACAAGTCAGCACACTATAGTCCACCCGCCACTTTTACCCGGAGCCGGTTTTTTTAAAGGGGTTTCACTAGGAGACAGACTCACCCGTTCGTTGACATTGCTTGCAGCTGCTCTCACTCTCCAGAGTTGAGAAGCTGTGCTGGACCCGCCGTGGCCGGCAAGCCTAGAACATTTATTCTCTGGCCCTTTCCAGAACAAATTTGTCAACCCCTGCTGCTCCATCTAGTTAGGTAAACTTGGCTGGTGTGTCACGTTAGGGTTCGTACGGGTAGTCGTCATTAATACCAATGAATACATAATTAATACACCTGTGGAACACTTTACAGAGCATTCTCGTATTATTTCACTTAGTCCTCACAAATTACAGAGAAGCAAACACAATCTAAGAGATTAACTGGTTTGCTCAAGGACTTAGGCAGACAGCAAAGGGCAAAGCCAACACTCAAACCCACGTCTGCAGACTTAAATCTCAAGGCTCTGTACCTATTGATATCTGTTTCACTCCATCCGATCCTTCCCCATTAAGTGTAAATTCAACGAAGAGGATGATGAATTTTTGTTTTGGTCATTGAGACCAAGACATTGGTCACACTGTGGGATGATTGTCTTGATAACCAATATATAATTTCATTTGTTCTCACAAAACTTACCTTACCTCAATTTGCATTAATGTAGATTACTCAGAGAACATCAAGAAGCATTATCAGAGATCATCATCTGCTGAAAAGAAAAATAGCAAAACCACTTCTATCATAAAAAACTCTGAAAAAAACAGGAATGACTTACTTACCATCTTTGATACCCTAACCTCAAAACAAAACTTGTCATTGGAAAAATTAAAGCAAATTACAGTACCAGATATCCAAATACTGAATGAAAAGGTAAATATTCACGATGGTGTAGTAAAAGTATTTGTGATTTCTGCTTGGTATACAAATCTCTTCAATTATATTTCCTGCCTTGCATTTTAATTTTTTATTTATACTTTATAAATGTATAAATATCATAATATATATAGATATGTTCTATTATTTAAGATATAAATAATATAAATATACTTCTATTTTATTTTTTTTTATTTTCCAAGTCAAAGTTTGAGAAAATTCAGAGTAAGACTGTGGCTTGATTTTATTATCTTACATTTATTTATATAATTTGCTATTTCCACAATGGTACAGATTATAGACATTCACTCCTCTTGCTTTCTTATAAATAAAAGGTAATTTTTATTTAAAAAGGCATCTGCCTTTGACTCAGGTCATGATCCCAGGGTCCTGGGGTCGAGCCCCACATCGGGCTCCCTGCTCAGGGAGAAGCCTGCTTCTCCCTCTCCAGCTCCCCCTGCTTCTGTTCCCTCTCTCGCTGTGTCGCTCTCTGTCAAATAAATAAATAAAATCTTTTTTAAAAATTTAAAAAATGAAATTAACACGCAAGAAATGCTAGATATTTGACTGTTTTCTCCAAAAACTCTTAAGCATAAAAATGGCATCAATTGACACAACGCTGACAACAAAAAATTCAGGTATTTAGTTACCTGGAAACATTTCACGGGGCTGCATCCTTGCGCTAAGCATGAACCACTGTTGAAGAAACACACATGCATAGAGCAGTTCTTTGCCTCAGTGAACCTGGATGGCATTAGCAAAACTCTGCCCACATGTTGCTTTTCAACATGAATCCTTTCTCCTGTGAGGTGTGTGGAGAACCAGGGGACATGCCGTGCGTGCTCTTGTCCTGTGATGGCCTCAGCTGTCGTGGCCCCCTGCCCCTCTCGAGCGATGCCCTCCAGCAAGCTCAGGAAGCAGAGTTTGTGATTCATAATTTGAGCGACCAGGTTCAGGGTTGGAAGCTCCAGGTAAATATGTCTTCTCTTGTTTTATTTATAAAGCTGTAGCAATAGGAAGAAAAAAGCAAACTGTCTGAAATGTTTAAAACTGCCATTTAGCTTCGAGGCGAAAGGACAGGTTCTAGATATTACGTGTTCTTATGCTTGGAAACATAGGATTAAAAATACAGATGTGGATGTAAATGTACATTTAGAAGTACATGTGAATATTGACATTTTCTATTATATATGTATCACATATATGTGTGTAAATGTATATTTGTGTGTGTGTGTGTGTGTGTGTGTGGAGAGAGAGAGAGAAGAGAAAGAAATCAAAGTTTGTGTTTGTAGGACATAGACTCATGTAGATGTTTCTTTTATAGCAAACACTACATAGAAATGGGAGACTATTAGCCTTAAAGGTTTGAAAACTTTAGATTTCTCAAAGTAAAGACTAATTTGTACAAATTCAAGAGTATATTTGAAATTCTACTAAATATACAAATTCTAATGTTAAAATTTAATGTTAGAAAATATTTTAATAGGAATACACCCTTAGGTCTTGTACTCCTTCCTGTGTTTTTAGACATGAGACAGTAGTTTTAATATTTAAGTACCTGATGATTGAGTCTCTAATAACTTGAAATGTTTTCATTTATTTTTCTGATCATGTTGATAAATGAGAATAATTTTTAATTTTTAATTGCCTTAGGGTTTTTTTGTGTGTGTGAATACATTATATATTCACCTGGAAAAGATGAATACAATTTTAGGTATTCTGTGAATACACTGAATTCATCTTGTATACAAGATGATGATGTGTGCCCTAGTTTGCTCCATTTTTGACAATATACATAGAGTCTTTGATGAAGAAGAAAAATCTCTTAAAAAGCTAAATTTCTTTACCAATAATACGAGCACCAGGTGTTATATAAGACTGATGAATCACAGGCCTGTACCTCTGAAACCATTAATACATTATATGTTAATTAATTGAATTTAAGTAAAAATTATTTAAATGAAAATATATCTACACACAAAAAATATGTGTTAAATATTATAGCAGGGAGCATTCCTGTTTGTAAGCAACAGAAACCAACTCCTGAAAAAAACAGTCTCAGAATCAACAGGAGGATAGAAGGTCAAGCTTGGGAATGGGCTGAGAACCACAGCTAAGATATGGTGCATATCTCAAGCACACACACACACACACACACACGTGCACACACGAGCTTGCATGCACATGCACACACACAGAACAGCAGTTTCCTCCTTGAGCCTCCTGCATGAGCCTGAGCCCCAGCTGGTCCCAAGCCCTTGCTCCACATGCTCCCAAATCCAAGTTCTGGGGCAAGCCTCTGATTAGCCCAGCTGGTGGATATCCCTATACATCCTGAATGTTGAAAATTTTTATTTACGTAGTCATAATTCTGCATTGCTACCTAGTTTTCACTTGTATGTTATTCTTCCTTCTTTGAACAAATATTCATTGAGTGCCTACTATGTGCAAGACATTTATCTAGGTGTTGGGGAGCCAGCGGTGAACATAACAAAGACAAATCCTGGTCCTGCATCCCGGTGGTTAAAACAATCCTGAATTGTTCAACATAATTTTATTTTATTTTATTTTAAAGATTTTATTTATTTATTTGAGAGAGAGAGAA